GGTATTGAAGATGAGGATGGTTATGATAACGAGGATGTGGACTTATTATTGGGTGGGATAAAGAATATGATACGATAGTATGTATAAGGAATATCGCTATGAGAGGGATGACTAGGGGAAACTATATCAACTGTAGAAATAAAAATGTAGGAAAGCAGGGGTGTAGTAAATCGGAGGAGTAAAGATAACTACTACTAGAATAGCAAGTAAGATAATTAATACCAGTACTATAGGCGGCTGAATACATGTCATTCACTAAATCTACTATAGTAGCGTACTTAGCAACCATCATCATAAATAATTCTCTAAATAATAGTACTTAGTAGTAGGTACAGTATGCAATAGATAGTAAATAATGGAAACCTTCATTTATCGGGCTGAGAAGTAAGTAACAGGCAAAATATGACCCTCAGAGTCTCTATATCCAGTAGGTCACAAATGTAAAAGACAAATATAACTTCGTTTCCAAGCACAATTCTTGTATTGAACAGCCACTCCTGACTGTATGATCTATCCTATTGCACACAGCAGGTATGTTGGTGAAACCAACGAGTCAGACCGCTACTACTACTACTGCTCCTCCCCCGTATAACCCAACACCATCACCATCTACATCTACACTACCATAGAAGCACACTAATATAGCGAATCAATCATATTCCACCATAATTTAAATTCAATCTCCCACCCTTCCTTTCTTTACATACTTGCATGCATGCATCGCTCATGAAAATGAAATCACAGACAAAATCGATCAAATCAATCAATCAAAAATAAAACCAACATGCACAGATCATCATCACATCAAATGGCGTCATCAAAGCTAAGAATTCATCATGCCTGAGCATTCGTCACCCAGCATACCATTCCGAAGTTAAAAGAGTGGATTAACCCCTCTTTTCATATCATTCCTCCTCTTCTTATTTAAATCCATCCGGTCCCCCGGTTCTTCGTCCGGTGGTCTCTCTTCTCCTTCTTTCCTCCCGATGGTGGCCCGTCTCCGTAAGGACAACCTGTCCTGACCCGACTTCACCTACACGCGCATGGCAAATTGCTTCAGATACAAGTAATCGGCCATGTTGGCGTCGACGGTCTGTCGGATGAGGTCTGCTGCCTCTGGGCCATATTTCTTGCGCCATTCGGCGTCCCATTCTTCCTCTGTCTTGACGGCATGGGGCTGTTGGGTGGTTGTTAGTGACTAACTACTACTTGCATAGCATATAGACAGGGGGGACGCATGAAGCTGTGTAGGGTCTACTGATAACTTACATGCTTTCTAGCAACCAGGCCCTTCGACTCGATCGCATCGTTGTGAAAGCCGCGCCACTTCTCGAACTTTTCCCGAGCGACCTGGTGGTCTTCCTCGGTGTCCCAGCACAGCATATCGGGGGTATATTCGATACCAACGCTACGACAGAATGCCTCGATCATGGCCGCCGGCTTCTGCAACATGTCGTCGGCGTCGACGACACAGATCTCCGCTCCGGATTCGTACCCGTTAAGGCCGTTCGTCACCGGTCGGAGCTTGTTGTCGATGTCGTCGGCGTCACGCTCCTGTGTGGCAATGTGGGGGCCAACCAGGCGCACGCTACGCAGGTAGTCGAAGGTGCGACGCAGCTCGTCGTACCCGGCTTCGGAGGGGTCATAGTTGTGAAAGCCCGTCACCTGGTCGAGGGGCGGGATGGTACAGCGGAAGTAAGAGGGGACACTGTGGTGGGGATCGCGGATGAGGAAGGCAAAATGGAACTGGGAGAGAATTTCCGTGGGCATCACGGTGGGATTGCCAGGCTCGGCTGCCGTGTCGTACGGGTACGGCTCCCGGGTGGTGGCCGGTTTCACCGGCGTGGAGTGGTCCAGCACAGCGTGGCCATTCAGCCCATTCTTGGTCCCGTTCTGGACTGGGCTTGCGCCATTCAGCTGCTGGGCGTGGTGGCCGTTGGTGCCGTTGGCGCCAACGACCGAAAGGGGAGCAGTCTCTCCGTTGGACTCGGTGCCCACGCCACGCTTGATTCTGTTCAGAGAAGGCGCGATGCTGGCGGGTTTGCCGTATGGCGGGAGGAGGTAGTGCATGATGTCCTTCATGAAAATGCGCTTGCCCTGCTAGTGGTAAGTATCTCGTAGCGACCGAGTAGAGTAAGAATCATGTAGGAAAGTAGAGTGTGAAGGCTCGATTGGGGCTGGTGAGATCCGACGCCATCTTGACGATGACAGTGAGGTGACTACCTCGTGCGATCATGGGCTTGTAGGAAAGGCGCATCAATTAGAGAAGAGGGACCTGCGTAGGCATGCAGATGCCGCAGGTCCCAGCCCATCAAGGGGGAGAGGGGGAGGGAAAAGATTGGCAACTGGCCTCTACGATGCAGGGCAAGGACCATCCAGCCGGGATTTTCACCTCGGCCGGGCGCATAACGACAGACAGAGAGGGATGAGAGAGTGTAGAACGCAGAAAGAAAGAAACGCGACCAAGAAGAAGGGTCGGACCTCAGAAGCTTCGCGCTCGATTCTAGCCAGGACGGTCTGGAACGTCGACTGGCTGAAGCCGCTCTCCAAACGAGCCTGTTCGTCGTCGGCGAATCTGGCCGACAGGCGTTCAGGCCCGTAGTAGAAGGCATCACCAAACGGCTCATGAATACATTGAATGGTATCCCGACGGGTCATGAAGACCTGTTGTAGTGTCAGCAGGTTCTTATCTTCTTGTTTTGAGTGCTTCATTTTTTTGATTTCTTGATTTTTTCGGCACTATGGAATGCGAGGATCACGCGTACTCGTTCAAAGGCCGTAGAGCAGGCGCGTGGATGGGTAGCCACGAAGATGGGTTTTTGAGACATCTTGATTTGATGTAATGATGAATGAGCAACCAGGGCTGGATGACTGGCTGGTTCACCAGAGGGAAAAGAGCAGAAATGAACCGTTTCCGATTCAGATCCGAGTCGAGATTTTAGAAAAGATCAACAGTGCACACTACTTTCTACCAGGGAATTTCACCGCCGGTGTAGAGGACTGTTCTGGGAAACACTAAAGTCCCCGTCCAAAGAGAAGATGAAGCAGCTGTTGCTTTTTTGGTATTGCTGTTCCGATGCAATAATCTGCAAGAACAAATGCCCAGTCAGGCAGTTGTTGCAAATCCCCCGTAGATTGGGCGAGCAGAAGATACAAGCACAAGAAAACAAAAAACACCACGGCGAGTAGGAAGAGCAGCCGGTGATGGAGGAGAGGGGCTTTTTATACACTCTCAAGACGGAATAGGAATGTCGACCAGGCTGAAGGCAACGGAGGGGAATGAATGGAAATACGGGCTGCCCTCCTCCACGCGGGAAGGAAAAAAAGGGCAGGTATCACGAATCAGAAGCGCTGCTCCAACAAGCAGACGGACGGTCGTTCGCTGCAAACCCCAGGACCAATGCAATGCCAGGCAAAACAAAACAGGGAAGGTTGACCCGTGGATGGACCGGATAAGCCAGTCAGTCAGTCCTACGAGAGTCGGTCCCAAGTAGTACGAGTGCGATATCCACATCACTACTGTCTACCAGACAACGGTGCTGGGCTAGTCGAGGGGTTAAACGTAATGGGAGCCCCTCTTGCTATCCACTGTTGATGCCTGGACTCTTCTGAATTAATGCCGCATAAGGAATAGAAGTTGAACGGTGCCTGGTAGTCTGCAGATGGTGCAGATAGTTCAAGTGCCAGTTGTTGCGATATCGCTGCTGCAAAAGGCCATTGTTGGTGGCGGTGGATAAGACCTTTATCAAATCCTTCAAGTCATAGTCATGACGTTAGAAGGGGAGTAAGTAAGTAGTTTTGGCGGCCGGCAGAAAGACTCCGGAAAGGGCGAACAGATCCCTGCAACCACTGCGAATTACGATCTACAGCTTATTCCCCTTGGACTCAGATCTCTCCTCAACCTGCATTTCATGGTCGGAACTGGGTCCGTAGCCTTGGAGGGTGTCTCACATTCACGGAGGACGAGATCCCGGGCGATAGCAGAGGGGAAATAGTTTGGCTCATCCAGGCTTGAGCATCCCAGGGAGAGAATGAAGAGGGGGGTTCCCACTGCTTGACGTCACGCTCGGGCCTGGAATGACCTGATGAGGCCATATCGATGCGCTGATCGCGTGGAGGGGTTGTGAGGCGGGGGAATCATATTCACCACGGAAGAGAATTAATCGGGATAGATGTCTCCGAATCATCATCTATCAGGGGGAGCAAAATAGAATTTGTTGGTTGCAGGGGAGGAATGTTCACGATCTCGTGTCAGGAGAACAAGGGCTGTTTAACTCCCCGCCCTTCCCGGGTCCTGAGAAAGTATCAGCAGAAAAGTCCTCAAGTATTATTGAAGTTGTCATGGACCACCACTACTCTTAGTACCACTACCACCACCAACAAGACCAGGAACTTTAATCCCGGCCAGACCAGAAGGATTGCATGCCAATCAAGCCCGGGCGACGCCAACGTGGGGGGTTCCTCTCTGTTGCTGGAGGCGATCCAACCCGCCAGGAGTGAATCTGGCGCCGTTAGCGCCGGACAGATTCCTGGAAATGTCAGGGCAAGACTCTAATAAGATGGCCCGGGACATAGTCATCGTAGAAAAGAGGTGGCGATAGTGGATACGACAAGAAGTTGGCCGTTTCAAGTTGAGCAAGACCTTGATGAGAGAGAAGAGAGAGAGAGACACAATAATATCATTTGAATTTGAATTTGACTTCAAGATTCTTTTCGATCTGGGCGATCTCGGCTCCGAAAACGGCAACTGGCCAGTGTCATGTCACATGACTGGATATAATTCCCCCACTTGATGGCCTGATTCCTCAGGCCAGAACAGGCCAGTAGGGTCAGGCATCAACACGTGACTTCTGGCGGATTGGCGGTGCTTCTGGAAGGCGGTGGAAGCTGCCAGTGTCGTCATGAACCCAATCGGGCATCTGAAGTCACGCTCTATATTATGCAAGTCGGCATCATCTTCGTCTCGCCCTCTTTCTCTCTCACCAGACTCAATCAGCAGACTAATTTCTCTCGTTCACACGGAACATTGCTTCCACATAATCTTTGAACATTTCCTCAATCTTCTCACCTTTACATACACCTCACACCTTAACAACTTACCATAATCATTGATTAGCTTGATTTCCATCCCACATTCTTCCCTCACATTCCGCCCAATATGAACGGCGCCCAATTTACAGACAGAGCCAACAAGGCCTTGCTGGACTCCAGCAGTCTGGCAGAGCAATACTCTCACTCACAGATCCTCCCTGTTCATCTCGCCGTCTCTCTCCTCAACCCTTCTCCCGATGAATCCAAAGACCAGCAAGCCCCCGCTCATCCTTCCCACGAAACCTCCTCCGCCCCTCTCTTCCGCCAGGTCGTCGAACGCGCCCATGGCGATCCACAACTCCTGGAACGATCCCTCATGAAAATGCTGGTTCGTCTTCCTTCTCAGGATCCTCCGCCAGAGACTGTCAGTGTCTCTCCCGCACTTGCCAAGGTCATCCGGTCGGCTTCCGAACTTTCCAAGACGCAAAAGGATAGCTATGTTGCCATCGACCACCTCATCCTCTCTGCCGCGCAGGACTCTCAGGTTCAGCGCGCCTTGGCCGATGCCAACATTCCCAATGTCAAGTTGATCGACAGTGCTGTCCAGCAGATCCGTGGTACAAAACGGGTCGACTCCAAGACTGCCGATGCCGAAAGCGAAAATGAGAACCTGAAGAAATTCACCATCGACATGACTGCTCTGGCCAGAGAGGGAAAGATTGACCCTGTCATTGGCCGTGAAGAGGAAATCCGTCGGGTGATTCGCATCCTGAGTCGACGAACCAAGAACAACCCTGTACTCATCGGTGAACCCGGTGTGGGAAAGACCACCATCGTCGAAGGCCTGGCTCGTCGTATCGTGAACGCAGATATTCCGGCCAACCTGGCTCAATGCCGGCTGCTGTCTCTCGATGTCGGCTCGCTTGTTGCAGGCAGCAAGTATCGTGGAGAATTCGAAGAGCGGATGAAGGGCGTTCTGAAGGAGATTGAAGAATCGAAAGACACCATTGTTCTCTTTGTCGATGAAATTCATTTGCTCATGGGCGCAGGCTCCAGCGGCGAAGGTGGCATGGATGCTGCCAACCTGCTGAAGCCCATGCTCGCTCGTGGTCAATTGCACTGCATCGGTGCGACCACATTGGGCGAATACCGCAAATACATCGAAAAGGACCAGGCTTTCGAGCGTCGTTTCCAGCAAGTCCTCGTCAAGGAGCCTTCCGTTCCGGAGACCATCTCCATCCTGCGTGGTCTCAAGGAGAAGTATGAAGTGCATCACGGTGTTAACATCCTTGACGGTGCTATCGTGTCCGCTGCCACGCTGGCTGCGCGCTACCTGACCGCACGCCGACTCCCCGACTCGGCAGTTGACCTGATCGATGAGGCCGCCGCTGCCGTGCGGGTGACCCGCGAATCCGAACCCGAAGCGCTAGACAACCTGGAGAGAAAGCTCCGTCAGTTGCAGATCGAAATCCACGCTCTTGAGCGCGAGAAGGACGATGCTTCCAAAGCCCGTCTGGAGGCTGCCAAACAAGAAGCAGCCAACGTCACCGAAGAGCTGCGGCCCATGCGCGAGAAGTACGAGAGCGAGAAGCAGCGCAGCAAGTCCATCCAGGACGCCAAGATCAAGCTCGACTCCCTCAAGGTCAAGCGTGATGAAGCGGAACGCTCTGGTGACACCCAGACGGCCGCCGATCTTGAGTACTACGCCATTCCCGAAACCAAGGCTCTCATTGAGCGACTTGAGATCGACCGTGCTAAGGCTGATGAGGAGCGACGGGCACGCCAGGGCGATGCCGGCGAAGCTCTGCTCGCGGACGCAGTCGGTCCCGACCAAATTAACGAAATTGTCGCTCGTTGGACCGGTATCCCCGTGACCCGGCTCAAGACCACCGAAAAGGACAAGCTGCTGAACATGGAGAGATACCTGGGCAAGATTGTCGTTGGTCAAAAGGAAGCGGTGACCTCAGTCTCCAACGCCATCCGACTCCAGCGGTCTGGTCTCAGCAACCCCAACTCACCCCCTAGCTTCCTGTTCTGCGGTCCCTCCGGAACCGGTAAGACCTTGCTGACCAAGGCCCTGGCCGAATTCCTTTTCGACGACCCCAAGGCCATGATCCGCTTCGACATGTCCGAATACCAAGAACGCCACTCTTTGAGCCGCATGATCGGTGCTCCTCCAGGCTACGTCGGCCACGACGCCGGCGGCCAACTAACCGAGAGCCTGCGCCGCCGACCCTTCTCGATCCTCCTCTTTGATGAAGTCGAAAAGGCCGCCAAGGAAGTCCTAACCGTCCTCCTCCAACTCATGGACGACGGCCGCATCACCGACGGCCAAGGCAGAATCGTCGACGCCAAGAACTGCATCGTAGTCATGACCTCCAACCTGGGTGCCGAATTCCTTTCCCGCCCAACCACCAAGGACGGCCGCATCGACCCTCAAACCCGCGAGCTCGTCATGGGCGCCCTCCGCGACTACTTCCTCCCTGAATTCCTCAACCGCATCTCCAGCACCGTCATCTTCAACCGTCTCACCAAGCGCGAGATCCGCAAGATCGTCGATCTCCGTCTGGAAGAGGTGCAGCGCCGTCTGGAGAACAATGACCGCAACGTCATTATCCAATGCTCCGACGAAGTCAAGGATTACCTCGGCGAAGCAGGTTACTCCCCTGCTTATGGTGCCCGTCCGCTAGGACGCATCATCGAGCGCGAGGTGCTGAACCGTCTGGCGGTGCTCATTCTGCGCGGTAGCGTGCGTGATGGTGAAGTCGCGAGGGTGGTCATGCGTGAAGGCCGCATTGATGTCCTTCCTAATCATGAGATTCCGGTCGATGAGGACCAGGATATGATCGATGAGGATGATGAGGCGTTGGCGGAGATGGAGGATGGTAGTGGAGATATGGATTTGTATGATGAGTAGGGTGGTTGATGAGTTGATGGAAAAGTGATCGATTGATTGAGCGCTTTTTTTTTTTTTACGATGAGATGATGAGATGATGAACCTGCTGCTTGATTTCTTTCTTTCTTTCTTTTGCTTTATTTTGTGTCATACTTGCATTGCATATATGTTCGAAGAACTTGGGCTGGGTTGTACAGCTGATATCATTTTTCTGAGGTGATATGATATGATAATATGGGGGTTGTTGCTATCGACTACTAGATGGCATACATACATGCACCTTTTTTCTTTACACTTGTGTGTATAGTAATAATGATAAATTGGTCTGAATCATGTCATGTTCTCATATCTTAAATAATTAATCACTTCCATTTTCTACTTTGTAGTATGTAAACGTAAGCAAATCGACAACTACTTTTTAGTATTCGAGTAGAGTACCAGCGCAATGCTACTAGTTTTCGAGCTCATAAGACCGAACAAGTCTCATCACTCATTTCCTACGCAGATTTCCCCATCTCCTTCTCCCTGAACCACTTGGCCACCTCCACCGTTTGACAAAACTCCACCTCATCCCCCCAGCTCTTCAACCAATTCAAAAACCGTTCCTGCATCCCGATCACATGCACCATTCCACTCGTATCCGGATGCATGAGAATAGGGAACAGCGGCTCCTCCTCGTTCTCTCTGATCCACAGGAATCGATCTTTCCACATATTCTCCATGACCCGCGCGTCCGTGTAGCCATGTGAGTTCGGGGCATGAGGAAGAAACTGCATCGGCGTCATGTCTTCCATGTACCAGTTGCAAGGGACACAAACGAGAGGGCGCCGGTCTGAGGAAGCTGGGAGGGGTTTCATCCAGCTTGAGGCGGGCTTGGAAAAGTCGATGGGTTCGATGGCTGGGCGGCGGGGGGCGAAGATGGGGTAGCTGTCGTGCTCGGTAATGGAGGAGTCTGGTCATTGGTATTGTTAGTATGTAGGTCGTTAAGTGGTAGATGGGGAGGGAAGGGGAGGAGAAGGGCCAAGGAGGATTGAATTATATACCATATTCGAAGCCGAATTCTTCCAATAGATCTAGAGTTGATTCACGGAGCTGGTATAACGGAGCTCGATAGCCAACTGGTCTTTTTCCCGTGAGTTTCTTGGCAATATCGATGCACTTGACTAGGACGTCGCGCTCTTGTTCCGGCGTCATTTGATAAGCACCTTCGTGGGCGTAGCCGTGCAGTGCTATCTCGCAGCCGGAGTCGACTACTTGTTGTACTTCGTCCGGGAAGCTTTCGGCAGAGTGGCCCGGGACAAACCACGTGCAGCGGTCTGCGAGATTGAGCTTCTTGAGCATGTTCAGGAGACGTGGGACGCCGACTTTCGCGCCGAAGAAGCCCGCTGAGTAGTCGGCTAGGATGTTGTCGGGGCTTTTGCCGGTGCCGAGCCAGCCGGAGACGGCGTCTAAGTCGATGCTTATGGCGACGCGGATCTTTTTGCTGACTCTGGTGAGGGATTTGGGGATGGACGGGGTAAGGCTGGTTGAGGTAGAGTCGCTTTGCGTGTTGTTATTCAGGTCGAGGCATTGGCCTGTAAGGTGTCCGGCCGCGCGGTGGGAGGCTAGAAATGCTATAGTTCGAGGAATTGAGTCTGTTTGCGTCCCTGCTGCGGGTTCAACTGGGGTAATGATGTTGATCCTCGCCTGTCTGTTGAGATGGACTATATCGTTCTTCACCCTCTGGGCCAATTCAGTGTACAATTTGGCCTGTCCAGGTGTCTCGCCTCCTGCCACAACAATAGCAAGGTTTCCTAGCTCCTTGCCGGCAGACTGCTGGGCTGTTTGAGCAGCTCGCAAGAAGTGCTTGATCGTGAGGAAGGTTCCCCGTACATTGGCACGGGACGTTCTCTCCCAGGTGTCCAGTGGAAGATCCCATATGGGGAGGTCATTTCCTTGTCCAGTGGTTATGGAATTGACAACGAGAACGTTGATGGGGCCAAGGCGTTGGCTGGCCTGGGAAATGCATGATTGAATGGATTCCTCGTTTGTATCATCGCCCTTGAGAATGTGGAGTCTAGGATGCACATTGTTTCTGTCTGTTTCGGGGATTTTCACATCATGCAGATCAAACGCCGTCACTTTGCATCCTTGGTCTGTGAATGTGGTTAGTATTGAGCTGTCTCATGCAGAACACAAGGCACATAAAGGCGGAATGTGACATATAAAATAGTCCAGCAACAGCTGGTGGCCGTCACTACAGCCATCAACAACAAAAAGATTGTAGGCTAAGACACACTTGGGGCTTGCCTCCAGCTGGCACAGACAGAGTATGTAAGCAACATACCTAGGAATTCCTGCACCGCTCGCCTACCGATATCTCCTGCGGCACCAGCGACGAAGACGTGAAGGCCCTCAAGGCCTAGGAATGATGGAGGCATGGTAAGCCTGATGGTTCTTGAAATTGCTCCTGATAGTGTTTCCGTGTATCTCTTTTAATTAAAGACTCAGTCCGCCTTCAGTAGCACGTAAGCTATGGCACCCGGTTAGTCTACAGATCCGGGCATACTGTTTGCGGGGATAAGACAGTCGCGACTAAGAGTACGAGTGCTTACAAAGGGGTAGTTATGCCGCAAGCAGAACGTCAAACGGGCTGCTCCCTTCAATGCAACCAGAATCGATCCTTCTTGATTCTGGATGAAGTCAACTCAATGCTAATCTGTAAAGAAAGTGTCAATCGGCATGCAAAGGAAGCGTATAGATGAAGCCGGAGGGGGAAGAGGCAGCCCCGCATCACGTGCCAGTCATGCCGAATCGGGACGAGGTAGTAGTACATGACAACACAGCATCACTAATAGGAATGCTGCCAATGGTGATAACGTGCGTCTCCTTAATATCGGCGCCCAACACATGATTTCTTCTAGACCCCAGTCCAGTGCCGCTGGTACTGTGCAATATATTATGCTTGATTAGTGGTTGGGTCTCGAAAGTCGACGGATGGCAGAATTTTGCAAAGCACGCTGGTTAGTGCATACTGCTATCACGACAGTAGGTTAGACCAATCCACACCAAGAAAACGGCGTCTGCTTCTGAAAAGCGCTCTAGGCTTCATTCGCGTTAGAATAAGGAGTTGGTACCGATTAGAGTAATCAAGCCCACTCTCAGCACGGTTGCTCTCCGCCATGTTGCCCACGGGAGAAATTCGGGGTGCAGTGATCGGAAATGTTCAAATCCGTGAACAGAGTTCAGCGGCGTCTCCCATGTCTCGGACGAAGCATCCTCTAACACAGAATGATTCGGAGGGAACGCTAATCGACTGACTCAAAACACTGAGATAATGAAGCTAACAGGAGGACTCGTCATCTTTCCCTCCAACATACGCTAAATCAGTCAGTGAGGGATTCAGCAGTTCGCACTGAGGTGATCAGCATGCGTTGAACTAAAGCCACGTGGATCTGCAGTCCCCGTACAAAGACGAACTGCAGAGGTTGTACCGCGAATCTACTGTCTCGTTTGGTGTAATAATTCAGTCAAGATTTACCACACAGACTCAAATGCTGTATAAGGAGGTGTGGGCTTGTGCAACCGGACGCTGAAACCCCATGATGTATTGAAATAAACGTATATTGAATATCCCAGGCGAAGCTGTATAAGTGGGATCATGGCATCACCCATAATGCAGGGTGCTCAAAAAACTGCAGAGGCAGCCGATCAATGGGGACCGTGCTGGCATGTTGCATGAACTGTCGCAAGATACTGAGAACCTATAAGCTTTCGGATGAGAGAAACTATCTTAGGACCGAACGCTTAGCGGGACAAGTAACAAGTGCGTGATTTTCTCCTTTAGCGGTGACCCTCTCTCTCAAGTGAAGGTCTGGTACTCCGAAAGTCTATGGGACAAATGGGCGAAAGTGACATTTGATCAATTATAGTCAAGCCCCGGAGACATTTCAATAGTTCAAACGGCAGACTTTGAGAGGCGAGGCACGGGCGTAAGCGGTCCACACCACTCTGCTATTCTGCTGTCACCGAAACTGGGACGAGATCTGGCACAGCCTTGCCTAGTTGCTTCTGTATACCTAAAAAAGAGGAAAAGCAAGACAGCGGTGTTGTTTTGAGAGACAATCTTAGTCTCACTTCGACCTGAAAAGACCGCCTGTGTAGTCTGTAGTATAGTGGCAAACCAGCGCCACACCGCGATCCTAACCCTGCGAATGACGGGGTTTGTTGGAGTTCTCCAAATCCCGTTGCGCTCGCGATTCGTGCCATTGGGCTCAGAATTGGAGATGCTGGCCAGTGGTGCGAATGTCGATCACTGGGGTAGTCGGCTGCGGCTACTGTCGCTGTACCTTACAGCGCAAAGCATGCATTCAATTCGTGGAAAGCTTTGCTACTCATGCCTTCCGTACGGCGTACGCACCTGAGCAAGTTATTTCCGTCCACGCTGAACGACCCGTGGGCCGAATGATGAAGTTCGGCATCGGGGACTCTAAACTTAAGATCATTCCCTAAAGTGGTTGCTGCTGGGTGGGGGATGGGGAGGGTGGTCCCATGGACCACATGCCAAATAGTCGCGCAGATAGGTGTTTAGGTACAGCCAATCTGAGCAAAGAACATTCCTACCCGACCGAGACGCTCTTTGATGATTGTTGGTAATTATTATGGTTGGATGACTGATGATTATGATGGCTGGTGAATTCTGCGGAAGATAGTGGGTTCCCAGTCTTGCCAAAGCGGCCGCGGTCGAAGTTAAGGTTACTACCTAGTAGCAGACCAATTCAGCACGAAGTTTATCAGGCCCCGGCTTCTTCGGACGGCACCTGCCTCTTGGCCGTAGCGGGCTCTTTAACTTCAGGGCGTGAGTTAAGTTCCTGTCAGCCAGCCTCTGTCTGCTCTTGGCACGGACACCAATGTTAAAGTTCGCAGTTGTCAAAAAGAGAAGCGTAGACGAGTGATACCTGATCTTTTACTAGATGCAGTATCGCCTGATAACCAGTCTTAGTGAGACCATGGAATGGATGCGGTCAAACCAGCCCCCGTACCAGACGTCATAGTCTCATGGAGAGCATCTTTGAAGTTTGGAGATGCAGAAGCCAGCATGGTGATCGCCGGAGAGGAGAGAAAGAGAGGGGGGAAACTGAA